TCAGACATCAAAAAGTTCTTTCTCAGTAAACATCATATTTAAAGGGTGTGCCACCCGAGCAGACAAGCTACCCGAGCTCTCATTGTATCTTCATGTCCACGTTTTCCCTATTTTAACCAATTTCGAAACAAACAAAAGGAAAATCCATCGAGTTTCATTGTTCGAGATTCATGAGCAACAGTTTGGTGCTAGAGAAAGGACCTCATATTAGTTGAGGTAATATTTGACTTGAAGAAATACCATTCATCCCGAAAATAAAAATGTCGTCATCCTGCCAAGAGGATCAACACGACTCATCCATGGCTGAACAAACCTGTAGAGAAGTGCCCAAAACAGACTTTATGACTCTGCTTCAAAACCCAGACTTTAAAAAAGGTTTTTCTAACCTCTTGACGCAAATCTTACTGTCAACGTCGAACGCACTGAAAAACTCTGTTAAAAGAGAATGTAATACCATATTGAACAAAGAAAAGGAACCTGGCCAATCAAAAAATGCTTCACAATCCCGTGATAACCATGTTGAAAACTTAAAGGACAAGATCGTTGACCAAACTAAAAGGAAAGAGACCGGGGAAAGGAGGTCAAACACAAGTTTCTGAACAAGGGCTTCTACCCCCTCAGCTTTCCATCGCCTAGAGAAAAAAAGGTCGAACATGACCTCTAGAGAAAAAAAGGTCGATCCACCCGACACGACACCAATGAAGTTGTTGTCTTGAGGAAGAATATTGCCGAGCTTGAGGCTCGACAAAAGTTAGTTGACAGGACCTCATCACCTCTGCCCTTACACACTATCAATCATTCTATCTACCTCGCCCTTATCATCTGACATCCTTATTGATTTCGTACCAGAAAAAATCAATATCCTCCAAATTGGACTATATGATGACATCTCATACCCTGATGCCCACCTCGTCCTATACACGGATGGACCTGCATGGGGCTTGAGATGCCCTTAGTTGCCGTATATTTTCACCAACTTTGAGGCCCAAGGCGTAGATGTGGTATCACTCATTATTCCCCCAGTCAATCCAGAACTAGTAACAGCTTCGGCCGGTTTTTTTATTGCACTTCATCGGGTCCCAGGTGTGCATGATACCAAAAAAATCAATCACGAATATCGTGTAAGGAGCCGAGGAGAGTCTGAAGGACTATATTGCTCATTTCAATGAACGCGTGCAAAACATGGATTCGTGCCACTAGGAAACATTGCTGGTGTCGGCATATTTCGGTCTGAAACCAAACTCGATGTTCAGGTGGTCGTTGTGTCAAAACTGACCAGCAATTTTTGTCCCTAGCACAACAACACGTAATTGTCGAGGAATACATATTGGTCCCATCCTTTGATTTGTCGAGCGGCGCAAGCGTGAAAGGGAAAGAGGCGAAATCGGGTCGGGATACGCCGAAGGATGCCTGTAATGCACAAGTTCGATCCTTCAGAAAGCAACAAAATGAGAAAATGAGGGCGAGTTATCATGGGCTATACTCGGCATGGGCCGCTATGGTATACGAGGAGTTGAAGAACAAATGAATTATCCCCGAGCCAAAACCACTCCGAGCCAACCAGGATCAACTCGACAAGTCGTGATATTCGCACAATCTTATCTTAGCCTTGTTAAAACTCATTGGAGATCCATTAGTTTAGAAATTTACCCGGAACCTAGAAAGGAGAAAGAGGGGTCGCCCAGATGGTGGCCCGGATAGTGAAGACGAGAGATATTTTGATGTGAATCCCAAGAGAATAAGGGAACCACCACATGAAATCCTATCTTTCAGTGGTGCCTTTCACGACGAGGCCAGCTCCTCCCGAGTGAGAAAGTGTGGCCGCATATCGCCAAACCGATCAGACCCCTCGACGGATCGGCCACAACGGAGGATCGACTGTTTCGAGAAGGCATGCAAAGGCTTATGCGAGAAAGGCGTGGAACGACGGGCAGCAAATTCAGAATGACGATTGCAGACCCACCACTATGGTCCAAACAAACCCTATCTTTTTTTCAGATAAAGATGTCGTATTGTTTGATCACTCCCACTCGGACGCCCTTGTACTCACAACACCAATATTCCATATTTGGGTGCATAGGATTTTGGTCAACGCAGAGATGTACGCGAGTGTCTTGTACCTAGATGCCTTCAAGAGGATGGGAATTAATCCCAAGGATGTGAAGCCATGCAATAGTAGGATCCAAGGGTTTGACTATCAGACCATAACCCCCAAGGAAGAAATCACATTGCTAATTTAGTTCGGGGGAGATGACCTCACCAACAAGACGACTTTGGAGACTTTTAAGACCGTGGATCATAAAAACGAGTACAACGCCATCCTCAGGAGGACGGACATATACAAACTCTGAGCCGCGGTTTTCATTTCTCACTACGTCGTTAAATCCCCTACGTTAAAGGGATCAGAGACCCACTACGGAGGTCAACGGGAGGGTCGAGAGTGCATTATGGTCATCATGTCCATGGAGATCCACGTAGCTGAAAATACTGATGTTTCGAAACCAACTGAGGAATGGACTGAAAAGGATTTGGCGCTAACTGAGCAGCTTGTACCAGAGCAAACGTTGCAGGATATCCCGATGACCGACCACATGGAACAGGCTCAAGCAGCCTTATGTTTGTCGGCACGAGAGCACCAGATCAGATGATAGTATGCATGAACAAGAAGATATGACTCATGATTGAGGAAGAAGGCCTGACAAGGAGCCAATGAATTGAAGGGGGAAGACAAGCTCCACCCGCGCGAGCAGTTCAAGGACAAGAAAGGAGGCGAGCATGCCGAGCTGACAAAAGCAGTTGAGATTATCTATGTTGACGATCTGACTGCCAAAAACAACTTTGTAATTGTAAAAGTAAGAACCTAGTCAAACCAATCCGATCCGAGATGATTCAATTCTTTAAAGGGAACGCCGACGTATTTGCATGGGCCCCAGAAGACATGGTGGGAGTAGATCCATAGGTGGTCTGCCATAGGTTGCAGGTTAATCGAATGGTCAAACTCGTGGTCCAAAAAAATCGAAAGCTCAGAGCGGATATGCAGCAAGCCCTCAAAGAAGAATTGATAAAGCTGGCCGAAAATCAGTCCATTTGGGAGGTTCGTTATCCTATATGGGCTTCAAACACGGGATCGAGTTGTCTCAACTCGACTAGAGTAGAGGTGACTTGATGATATGAGATAACATACCGGGTCAACCAAACAAAAGAAATTAAACAACTAGACTAGATTGACATGATAATTAGGGCTGCAGCTAAAGGTCGACGTGAGGATGATAACCAGACTGACAGTGACTTTCTGAGATGAGGAAAATACCTACAAGATGAGCTCGAACAGAAGAGCTCGACCTGGTAGACTAAGAGGCCGTCTCAACCTCATGGATAATAGGGGGCTGAGGGAAGGAGATGTTCGACCTAACGACTATTCTACCTGACGACGTGAAACTGGTCTCATGACAAGACGAAAAGGCATCTAACTAGGGAACTACGCCATAAGAGGATTGGACGACGTGTCGCAATATGATTGAGTCATCTGTGCACCTAACAAGCCTGAAATTCTCAGACGCTGCAGGTCGTAACGACGGGCAGTTTGGGCAGAGGGGTCAACTCTCAAGGCAGATTTGGAGAACAAGACACTATACCCCTATATAAAGAGGTATGGTAGGTTAGTTACGTTTTTACATTCTCTAGACACTCTTACACTTGGTTTCTGTTCATCACCTTGATCCATATATTGACTTAGGCATCGGAGGCTCTTCGCCAGAAAATTCTATTTTCGGTGTTGAGTTCTTATAAGTTTGGAGGTCGTCCGAAGTATAAGAGAGCAGGTACTTGTTATATTAGCCCGAACCATGGCTGAACAAGATCCATTTCACTATTAAACGAAAAAATCATTTAATATATTTCATATCAAAAACAAATTTTAAAAGATACATATAACATCTTCATATATGAAATTTGCACACACCAAACATAATATATTTATTATTACCAAGTAAATACACATGAAAAAGACAAACAAACACATTTCTCAACCTAATACACAACATACAAATGAACCATACATCAAAAGGCACACATTTNAAGTATACAAATATATATTATCATGTAATTAATTAAGGTATCCCAATGATTGGAAAAAACGGAAGATAATAACTAGATGGCGCCAATCCCCATTCCCTCGGCAGAGGCAAGTCAACGGTCTTGGACGAACCAAGACCATTGTTTTGGGCCAAACATTTTCCTTTGACTGGGCACGTCTTGTAGAAGCTCAAGGGCCTGGACGTAGCATAATATGGTCCTGCTTTGGAAATTGGGACAAGAGAGTCCTTTTTCGAGGAGTAGATTAGTTGTGGGCCCCCCATTATCCTGGCCATGCAGTGTGATGGGCTGTATAATTTTGGGCCGTCCGATGGCAGCTCCGTTTCGAAGGTCCCGTCTTGTTCGGTGTAGGCCATGGTCAGCTTCTTGACTTTGTCACATTTCACGAGGACTTGAATTCCTATGTACAAACAAGAAGGTAATATATATAAATGCAGGTAAATAAATTATAGTTTAATTAAATATACCATTACTCAAAAAATGATGGTTTTTATTAAAATTCCAAAATTCACCCTTCGAAATCCATGCAATTCGCAACGTATACGAAGAATAAAGTATTTGTAATTTCCAAAAAATAAGTGGCTGATTTTTCGTGTCGTTATAGTGGGAGTACCTCAAGCATAGTTTTTGCAACTAGCCTTATGTCTGAATATTCAAAATCAGACATATTAATGCTTATATAAAACTACTTCCATAATGGGAAAAAGAAATTACTCACTTCTTAAATAAAAGATCCTGCCGTTATTTAAATTAGTTTATTACTACATCAGTTCAGTGGTAATTTTGCCAATCATACTTTTCACTACTTTCGTTTTAACATGCAAGAAAAGAAAAAGACTAACAACATTCATAGATAAACCTTAAAATCTCTTAAGAAAACTACAAGAACCATATATCCTAGTAATAGTTACTTTTTAGTCTGACTCTAGTTAATGACAACTTTTCTTGACAAATTAGTTCATCAAACATATAAATATTTATTTATATATTGATACAAAACCTGAGAGATCATAATTTTTCGGGCAGTCGAGGCAAGTTATTGATCCTTTGAGAATTTGGGCTGTGTGCTGTTGTTCGCCTTTTGCAAGGGCCAAAGCCAAGAAAATTGAAACGAGGACTCGTTTAATCGCCATTGGAGGTAAATATGCTTAAAGATTTTCAGTGTGATGTTAATATGGAACAAAGATCATAACAAAGGGCATGGTATAAATATTGCCACAAAGTGTCACAAGAGTAGTAAATGAAGGGCCCAAATGCCTGAGTAGGTTGTTGAGTGTGTAATAATATTTGTGTCGTACAATCAGTAATTTATTTGTCCTTTTTTCTTATCTTCTTGAATTTATGTGTCATGGCAGAATCTTGTCTGGTAGTGAATGCTATTTTTATTTTTTACTGTTTTTCTTTTTNATAAGTGATACGAAAGAATAAGATGAATTCGGGAAAAATGATCATCATCTCAATCGGATGATAAACCTCTCTATAAATCAAGAATATATACACAAAATTAGGGCTACAAAAATACCTAAGGCTAATACGGTAAATACACAAATATACACAATAACACCCCCCTCAAGTTGGAGCATGCGGATTCCGAATGCCCAACTTGCCAAGAAAGAAATCAAATCCACGCTTCCCAAGCGCCTTAGTGAAAATGTCAGCGAGATGTTCCCCAGAAGGAACATGAGTAGTAGAAATGAGACCCTGAAGAACAGCATCTCGAACAAAGTGACAGTCCACCTCAATGTGCTTAGTGCGCTCGTGAAAAACCGGATTCGCCGCAATATGCAGTGCAGATTGACTGTCACAGTGTAACCGCATAGGCTGAGAGTGAGAGACACTAAGAGTAGATAACAGTCCCCGTAACCACTTCAACTCGCATAATGTAGTAGCCATCGCTCGATATTCAGCCTCAGCAGAAGAGCGTGCCACAGTAGGTTGTTTCTTGGTTCGCCAAGAAACAGGAGACTGACCCAGCTGAATAAACCAACCAGAAAGAGAGCGCCGAGTGATAGGGCAAGACGCCCAATCCGAATCACACCATGCATAGAGTTGAAGATCGCAGTCAGTTCGAAGATGAATTCCCTGACCAGGAGAGCCTTTCAAATATCGAACCACACGCAGAGTAGAGTCCCAGTGAGCCTGACGTGGTTGATGCATAAATTGAGAGAGCATATACACCGAGTAAGATAGCTCAGGTCGAGTCACTACCAGATAGATAAGACGTCTGACTAAACGACGATAGCGCTCCGGATCAGACAATAGATCACCCTCAGCAAGATGGAGCTGATGATTCTGCTCTAGTGGAAAATCAGCTGGCTTGCTCCCTAGTAGTCCGACCTCAGCAATGATGTCAAGATCATACTTCCGCTGACAGAGAAAGAAACCAGAATTCCGGGCAACCTCGATACCCAGAAAATACTTAAGCAACCCAAGATCCTTCATGTGAAAACAACGACTCAAGTAACTCTTGAAGGCCGCAATGGATGTGGTATCATTCCCGGAAATAACCAGCTCATCAACATAGACCAGGACCTGCAGATGGACAGAACCACGATGTAGTGTAAAAAGAGAGTAGTCATGATAGGACTGACAAAAGTCATACTGCTTCAAAGCCGCAGACAACTTGGCAAACCAACAGCGGGGAGCCTGCTTCAAGCCGTAGAGGGAATGACGAAGACGGCAAACCTGCCCATCAACGCCAAAGCGAAAACCAGGGGGAAACTTTATGTAAACCTCCTCAGCCAAATCACCATGAAGAAAAGCATTGTGAACATCCATCTGGTGAACTTCTCAATGCTTAGCAGCAGCCACAACCAAGAATAACCGGACTGTAACCATTTTGGCGACGGGAGCAAACGTCTCATGATAGTCAAGACCTTCCACCTGATTATTGCCCAAAATCACCAGACGCGCTTTATAACGCTCAACGGAACTGTCAGACTTATGCTTGATCTTAAAGACCCACTTGCACCCAATCGCACGCGTCCCAGATGGAAGAGAAACTACATCCCACGTGCCATTATTCTCCAAGGCACGAATCTCATCCTGCATAGCGGCTCGCCATCGAGGATCAGTCACGGCATCAGCAAAAGTGCGAGGCTCAGCAGCGGAGGCCACAGCAGCCAAAAAAACTCGATGAGCTTGAGAGAATGAATCACAAGAAACATAATGTGCTATGGGATAAGGCGAACCGGAGGATGGAGACGACTGGGAAGAAGCAGTGGGTGGTAGAGTCGAGGGTTGGACAGTGTCAACCACAAAATCTTTCAGCCGAGTGGAAGGAACCTTAGTCCGATGACCACGACCCAAGGGCTCCACTGGAAGAGTGGGAGGGGTAGTGGTAACGGAACCCCCCTTGTCGTCAGACGTGACCATATCAGTAGCAGAAGACTCAGTATCAGGAGAAACATGAGGCAAAGAGACAATCGGAGGATCCTCATCCTCATTCGGCGTAGAAGAAACCAGCACAACAAGAGGCGGTGGCAAAGAATCTGGCTCAGACGAGTCTGACTGATATGGGAATTCGGTCTCAAGAAACTCAACATCACGAGAGACAAAGAAAATATGACGATCCAAATCATACAAACTCCACCCCTTTTTTCCAAAAGGGCAACCGACAAATAGACAACGACGGCTCCGAGCAGCAAACTTGTCACCATTACGATCTTGGTTATGAGCATAACAAAGGCAACAAAAAACCCGCAAATGAGACAAGTAAGGAGTCGTACCATAAAGAATCTCATATGGAGTTTTACCATGTAACACCGAGGAAGGAGTCCGATTTATCAAATAGACCGTAATCAAAACACAATGGCCCCAAAAAGTAAGAGGCAGATGAGCCTAGAAACGTAAAGCACGAGCTACATTGAGAACATGCTGATGTTTTCATTCCACACGCCCATTCTGCTGAGGGGTGCCTACACAAGAAGTCTCATGCAGAATCCCTTGACGACGAAAATAAGAGCCCAAACACATGAATTCACTTCCATTATCAGTACGAACAACACGCACCAATTTATCAAATTGTCGCTTAATCATAGATAAAAAATTCAGCAATGTGGAAGCAACCTTTGTCTTATCATTCAATAAATAAACCCATGTCCCACGAGAACAATCGTCAACAATAGTAAAAAAATACCATGCACCACAGAAGAAAGGAACACGATATGGACCCCACAAATCACAATGAATCAAATTAAAAGTCTCATGACTAACAGTCTGACTGAGAGAAAAACTACGACGATGTTGTTTAGCACGAAAACAAGCATCACATGACTTATGCAAATTACGAGAACTCGAATCAATAACAGGAACCTGAGACAATACTTGAGCAGACGGATGACCCAAACGTTGATGCCACACATCGACAGAAACCTTCCAAACACAAGAAACTGCCGTCGAAACCGTCCCTCGAAAGAAATAGAGACCCCCCAATTGCTCACCCGCTCCAATCACCTTCTGCGAAGTGCGATCCTGAATAACACAGAATTTGCTAGTAAACTGAGCGGTGCAGTTGGAACGATCCAGCAATTGATATAATGAAATCAAGCTGCACCGAAGGCTGGGAACGTATAAAACATCATAAAGAGTGATATGAGATCCCAAATAAACAGTCCCAGCCTTGGTAGCCATAGTCAAGGAACCATTAGGTAATTGAACAGGACGAGCAGGAATATCCCGAACATCGGAAATAAACTCCAGGAACCCTGTCATATGATGAGTTGCCCCACAGTCGTACATCCAATCAAATAAACCACGTGTACCAGATAAGGGATGATGTTGTTTAGCGGAATTAATAAAAAACACAAAGTGAGACCATTGTTCATTGGTTAAACAGCCAAGTTCAAGACGATCAGAATCACTCAAAGCTCTACTAGCAGTGGAAGAACCAACAGAACCGGCAACAAACGAATCACCAATACCATTGGAGAATGCCGCATTCGCACGAACATCACTTTCGCCTCGAGCTCCACCACTAGAACCGAACCACTTCGGATATCCAATGATTTCAAAGCATGTAGCGGCAAGATGGCCCATTCGGCCACAATTAGAACACTTGGGACGGCCACCAGTACGGTGCCTAGCAAATTCGTCGCTACCTTCGGCCACGGCCGATGTCGAATAATCTGCCATGAAGCCGCAACAACTATACCCTTTCCTTTTTTTTTTTTTTTTTTTGANTTTTTTTTTTTTTTTTTGGCTCTACTTGGAAGAATAATTTTTGGCTCTATTACTGTTCCATCTCAATGGGAAAGAGAGTGAAGCATCATGTGGAATCCCACGCGGGTGGTTGGAATAAAAGAAAGAGACAGAAAAAGAACTTGACTCAGATCCAAGCACAAGCAATTTGGCGCACAGCAATTGATACCTCACAGCAATTGGCCCACAAATAAGTTGGACACAAACACAATTGATATTTGATAATTCAATTGAATGGAACTCATAGCAATTGGTAATGAAATTGGCACGCAGCAATTTGATCCCTCACAGCAACTCGCACAAACAAGCAATTGATTTTTTTTTTTTTCTTTCGATTGATTGAACAAACACAAGAGACAAAATATATGGATGAAGCCGACGTGACGAAGGCAATTGGATTAGACAGAAAAATTTGTGATCCGAAAAATATCAAGTCTCTGATACCATGATACGAAAGAATAAGATGAATTCGGGGAAAATGATCATCTCAATCGGATGATAAACCTCTCTATAAACCAAGAATATATACACAAAATTAGGGCTACAAAAATACTAAGGCTAATACGGTAAATACACAAATATACACAATAACAATAACGAAAAGAAAAAAAAAGAAAGAGGAAAAAAAAAAAAAAAGTTGGTTAACGCAAAATCAAGTGTCCTTTTAGGGTGAATAATCTGTAGTCAGTTTGAAGCGCGCAAGTTTAAGTTACACACTACAACATTAGTAGTTTTGCTCAACTATCCCTAAGGTTTATCGTACAACGTTACATTTATTTTTCAACATTATGGAATTTGTTGTTTATAAGTTGTTATTTATATGTTACTTCTTTTAACTACCGTAACCTAAGTTATTATCTTTAACTTCGGTTAAGATTCCGATTAAGTGTTAGGCTACTTTGAAAATTTGGTACATGTTGAGCATTCACAAACCTCCATAAAATCAAGCAAATAATAACGTGAATATATAGTATAATAGTGTTGCTGCTAAGTAGATCAGACTTTTAAGAAAAAATGTTTTGAAAATAAAAATTTGTAGAAATTAGTCAACCTTGCTTTTGGGGGGCATAATTTGTAGAAATTAAATATGTTACTTCATGCTAAGATATAATCATACTTAAAAAAAATATGTAAAAAAGTGTATTTTAACACTTTTGAACAAATTATAAACAAATCAGAATACAAACGAAAAGATAATTTCAAATTCAGAGAAATTGAGCAATAAGTTTGTCGTGATATAATTATTTGTCAGAAATACTGGTGAAAACGAGCAACCCCATTTACTACACCAACAGGGTAGTTGACTGCCTTTCCATCTCTTTTTTACCACATAAATACTGAATTCAATTTACCTTTATCTCTAACATTTTACCTGTTCGACCAGTACGCATCAAAGCACAATTTATGACATGAAACCTAAGTTCTTAGTAAGTTAATTGAAATGAATTGCCACCCTATATCTTAGGTTTCATTAGTTTCTTCACAACTGCACAGCATATATTGTGTACATCGTGCATCATAGTTGATACTTTTTTCATTTGCCGTTAATCAGAAATATATAAGTAGAAAAATCATTTAAACAATTTTTTTTTTTTGTAAATTAGGAGAGCAAATTATAGGCAACAGCATTACAGAACATAATTAGATGTTAGTTTTTCCAAATAGGGAAACAAAATTAAGTGCAACTCTTAATGGTTGTGCCTAATTTTTTCCTCACTAGTTTTTTCTACTGATAAATGCCACCCAAATTCTGCGGCTCCACCAAATTTCAACTTCCTAAAGAATACACTTATGGCTTCAAATCCTCTGAAAATTTCAGGAAAAAGAGACCCTAAATGGACTTTTTAACAGACAATCATTTGTCACCACTGAAATTATCGTGAGTTGCAAATACGGTTCCATCTTAAAGTATATGTACGAAACACAAAAACTTAATTCGATAATTGGATACATAACAATAACATGAATACACCATTATAACAAGTACAATTTCCAGCAAGCAGTTGAAAACAACTTCTGTAAAAAGACCAGTCAAGAACATGACAGAAGGCGCGTTGTATAGCATTTGAAGTTAAACAACCAAGATAAATTCCCTCAAAACACGAGGGCAACAAAATTTTAGATAACAATTGTCGATTGCGAAATTGCAATGAGCATAAAGCTGAAGTGCAGAAATCATCCTAAAGTAATTACCATTCTTTACCATCTGTTAACAGTTACTGAGTCCATGTCAAGAAAGCAATATTACTGATGTAATCATGTGCAATCATATGATACTTGCTTCTGTTAAGGATGGCGGTAAATTACAATCCCCAAAATGTTGAATGCAGATGTTTTCTATTTGTTAGGTAATGACATGCACAGGTCATGGCCTAACTTTAGGTATGAAGAGACAAAGATTTACCCTTCATAAGTTTTGACCACTCTTTTGGCCAGTTATCGATGAGCTCCAAAGGGAAATGCTTTGATATAAATAATCCCGCAAGAAATCCAAAAAGTAGATATAATAACTTGATAAAGGCAAAAAAACGCAGATCTTTGATGCATGTTCCCTAATGTTTTGGTCCCTCGAAAATCCACCAACTTTTTAGGAAAATCAGATCCTTGTAATATTTTTGTCCTATTGGATGGGTGAAGGAGCTCTTAACCGAAATATTAGCAAAACATTTGTATATTCCATTGCAGATATTGCTTTTCATGGTAAGGAATAATATAAAGGTAAGTTAAAAGAACTTTCCCTAAGGCTTTAACTTATTACCAGTGAAAAAAAAAATCAAGTTGCCTTTAAGAGTTACAAGTACTCTACTGGACGTTAGCTTCTATCTTATAAATTAGGGAAAAAAATATTGTATTCTAACCTTAAGGTAAAGGGGAAGATTTTTGTAATGCGCAAAGATAACTAGAGTATTATGTTCTGTGGTGGTCTTTCTAATTTCCCTTTAACATAAATGACTTCTGAAGAAAAGAAGAACAAGCGGCTATCAAGACAGCAGCAAGAAGCAACTATACAGCAGCAACCTTTTCCAATTGAGTTTCAGCTCAACCGTGCATGTGTGCAATCTTGTATAGTTTTTCATCAAACAAGTTAACAAGTCGAGCACATACATACATAACAAACATTACGGTAAAATCGTGAAGCAACAAGAGGATTCCAACGAGTAAATAGGGATTCGAATTTCCGACACAATTAGCCAAAACCCAAAAAACTTAATCAAAAACCAAGCCTTTGATAATTAGATCTCATTCAAATTAATCTATCAGTACGAAACTTACAGAGTGAGGCCAGGCACGAGGTGGACACCAATAAAAAACTAGTACTCAGATATATGAAATCTCAAAACAGATTTTTACCATGCACTGTGTAACTTGTTTCATAATCTTAGATGAAATGGTTAGTAACCATTTCTACCAACTATCCTTATCGCTGCATGACTTTGGCTAGGAAATCTATTTTTGGAAATCGGAGCAACACGAAAGAAATGAAGAGGGAACATAGGATGTAAAACTATATTGCATCGCTGGATGAATAATATTTTGTTAGGAACTCTAAATAGGAGATTGAAGTTCCCTTGAACAGAAAGTTCAGACGTAATTTTGAGTTCCAAAATTCTAGAGATCAACAGATATAATATATTCATAAATGTACAGAACTTCTCGTGACATGTGAGAGATAATACGCTGTCGACTTTTCGATGTTTTAGTTCTATGCTCCGCTTTAAACATTAAATGTTAACGACCTAAAACAAAAATATGATTTCTCATTAAAACCAATGAGTCAATGACCACTAAAATAACGAAACTATTATTTATGGTATTTTCTTCCTTGATAGCTCAATGCCAACAACCATCAAAGTATTCTCTTCTTCTCATGCCTGAATAATTTATCAAATTTATCCAACTCTAGTTTCTCCTTCTCCTTTAACCCAACATTTTCTTGACCCCCATGACAAGTTAGCAAGTTCCACGAAGCTTTTCATAACAACAAAAACACGTGGAAATCATTTTTGATCAAGATAGGTTTCTTTACCCGGTGAAGTAAACAATATGCAACAACCCGAACATATCTCGACATTAAGTGAAAAAATGTATAGCCGTCATTCTCATGTAGTACACAACTATTAATCACCCAAATCAAAAGAACCAAGCCATCAATCCTGAGATCAACATCTTTTATCAACTACACTGTAACTACAAATTAGGTACCAAGACGAAATATTTACAATTTAGTCCAACAGACCTACAGTAAACAACCAAAGCAATAAATGACAAATCAAGTTATCAGCAGTTCAATTAGGCGCTATTTAGCATTTACCATTCAATCTAACATATATACAGTTAAAAGATATAATCCAGTCTTCACCATTAATATCCCAACCAGATTTGAAGGGGTGAACCAAATCAATCAATAAAACCAGTCTTTCGCCAAATGGCGTTGCGCACCTGCCTGAGATCCCTCCCTTTCAACGTCCGTCCAGCACCCTCCATCACGGAGCAAGCCGCCCGCGGCATATGCCTCGCAGCCACCACCTCGTGCGGCGGCAATATCATCTCGTCCGCGTTCTCTTCCCGTTCAGCGACGTTGTCTTCCAGATCCAAAGCCCTCCTCCGCATCGCCGCCGGCATCACCGGAATATTCACCGGCGCCGATTGAGGACGAAACCTAGCGCTGCCCCCTTGAATCGGGGGCGGTTTCGGGATCGATAGGCCCTGCGCACCCGGGGACGCCTTGTGGTTGAAAAGGGGCCGGCTATTCGGCCCGGCCACAGATCGATTCCCGTGGTTGCTGGTTAAGGCGGCTAGGATGCCGTAGTGTTTGAGGTTGGTGCTTCGGGTGGGTTTCGGATCCGAATTGTCGATCGGTCGGGTCGGGGATGGGGGCGGGCATTCTAAAGGAGTGTTGAAGATATCGTGCTCGGAGATTTCGAGTGGGGGTGTGGGGCCGGAGGACGGTGGCGGTTGCAGCATGCCCAGGAATCTATCGGCGGACGGATGGTGGTGATGGCGGCGGCGGCGGGAAGAGGTAGGTATACCGGGAAGTTGTTCCATTGGAAGTGGTTGTGTGAGCGTGCGCACGTCTGCGTGAGTAAAGGGCGGCGGCGGATACGATTGCGCAGGCAAATATGAGTGAGTAAAGAGAGAGTGTTCTGTTTCTGTAGTCCCAAACGGAAGAAATCACGTGCTGCAGGGCATGGCGTCTTTCATCTATATCTATATCTATATATATATATATATATATAGGGTTTGGTTCACATGATAATGGTTCATAACGAAAGAAATGAGAATAAATTGTAGTCATTAGATCGAATGATTTAATGACTAAAAAAAAGTCAAAGTTATACATCATTAAGGGTATATTAGACATTTTGTCAGATCAACAACAAGTGGGTCTCAAAACGACAAAACCAGCTCCATCCAACTCATGCAGCACTCTTTCTCTCACACGCAAAAACACACAGTAAAGTGTGTTCCTTCTTCTTCCAGTCTGTTTCTACTTTCCACATTCCATCAAAATGTCGTCGCCGCCGGTGCTCCACCACCGCCGCCGCATCCCTCACCTCTCGCTGGTCCTCGCAGCCGCAATCTCCCTCGCCTTCTTATCCTCAAACGTCGTCCTGTACAGATCTTAATCCCTTACCCGCTGCAGAGATTCGCCTTCTCCCTCCTCCACCGCGCCACCGACTCGTTCTCCGCCGACACCGCCTCGGGCAGGGCGGATTCGGGTCCGTTCATAGGGGAACCCTCCCCTCCCGCCAGAGAATCGCCGTCAAGCTGACGAACAAGGCCTCCATCAAGGCGTGCTCGAGTTCCACAACGAGTTGTCCCTCGCCGATTGCCGATTTTGGTTTTAGCTCATGTGTTGAATTGGTAGGACGAGGTGGCGGGGACAATTGTTGAAGGTGATGAGAGTAATTAATAAAACCGCTGAGAAAATGGATTTGGCCATTTGGGCTTGGTGTTGAGAATTTAATAATTCATATGGGCCTAATTGCAATTCATAGCTTTTAATTTAATTAGTGGGTTAAATTTCTAATTTATTAAAAATGTAATAATCATACAATAATGTTAATTGAATTGTACAATATCACGTTTGTAATTGCACATAAAAAGTACTCGCACTGCAGAAACTAAAAATTTTGGTTTGAATGTATAATAATTCGATTCGATTATTTGTTATTATTTTCAATTAAATTATTTAGGTTCGATGTCAGATTTATATTTTTATATAAAAACATTATTTATTTCATAAAGAATAAATAAAAATAAAATATAAATATTAAAAATACTAAATATATTTTTATAATAAAATATATTTTATTTCAATTATATTTGTAAATTCGGTTAACCAATCACGAAATATTTTGGTTCAAATTTTAGTTTAGTTTCAGACAAAAGTTAGACCGATTCAGACTGCACAATAACGATCAAGACCGTGCACAATATGGTTATACCAATTGCACATTAATGACAGTCAAACTGCACAACAGCGACTGAACTAAAAACTTCGGTTCAACTAATTATATTTCAGTATGATTATTTGTTTTTTAATTTTAAAATCTCGGTTATTTTTACCGAAAAAATATAATGTTGAACCAAATGCACATTAATGCGTTCGAGAATGCACGTTAGTATAACATTGTACATATTCACATATATTAAAGTTTCGGTTATTTTGATTCGGTTTCAACCTTAGTTACAAAATTAAAAGCATAAAGATTAAAAGAATAAAATAACAGAACCGATCGAATGATAGAAAAAATAATATTTATATTTTATCTACATGTATTATTAATTCTCGTCAAATAACTATAAAATATTTAATAAGAAATATAGATACCAAATATAGTTTTATTGTATAAATAATTTGATAAATGTAAAATAATGTTGATTGAAGTACACATTAAAAGAATTTCTAATATTCAAATGCACATAAAAATATATCCATCACCACACTACACAATTAATTTCAATAACTCTCGTCAAAGTATTATGCAAGATAAATTTAAAAAACATAGATCTACATAATAATTTAATATCAATCACATCAGCTATACACAAAAAAAAAACACAAACATGCTAACGTATTAAAATTTTAATATTGCACTTTATACACCAACACGTTGCACTTTATACAACAATATGGTGCACTTTATAACGCAACATATTGCACATTATATATATATAAAAAAGCGTTGTTATTCTAGGGTGCAATTTTTATAGATATTAAAATTTTGGTTATTCTAGTTTGATTTTGTTTTCTTTTTTTTACAAAAAATGAAAAAAATGAATTAACATAAATGATTGAACTATATAAAACATATTTTTTTTTTTATATTTTATCTATATATATTATTATGTTAAAAAAATAATATAAAATATTATATAAAATTAAAACCGTTAAATATATAATTTATTATATAAATAATTTAATACATGCAAAATAATGGTGACTAAATTATACATTATTAGAGTTTTTTTATAATTGAAATTCACATAAAAAATACCGTTCAAATATATTGCACAATAATGTTAGACGAAATGCACATTAGTGTATGTGATAATGCACGTTATCGATTTATATATTTTATATATTTTGTATTTTCAATATCAAATAATATAAAATATTAGAATATAAATAATAAAGTAATAAATTTATTTTTATAATATACATAATAAGTCATTTCAATTATTTAGGATAATTCGGTTGACAATCAAATAAACCGATTATTCCGGTTTAGTTTTAGTTTGGTTTTGGACGAACCATAAAAAATGTTTGCGATGTGAGTGCACATTATTGTTTGTCGAATTGCACACTGATGACTATCGGATTGCACAATATCGACCGAAGCTGATCCAACTGAAATCTTTGTTGAAATTTTATATCGGATCGATTATCCATTTTTAACTTTATAAATATTGTCAAATTTCGACTTGATGTCCTTTTTTTTTTAAATGACCGAAATAACCAAACCAACCAAACTATGTAAAAAGTATTATTATTTCTTTTCTATTTTTTATGTGAAATTATTAATTATTTACAAGCAAAAAAATATAAACGCATTAAATATTAAATAAAAAAATATTAAAATACTAAATATATTCTTATAATATAAATAACATTTATTACGATTATTTTATTTTCTTACAAAATTTTGGCCGACTCGATTTTTCTAAAAATTAGACTCATTTATTTAAGTTTTGACATTTATGTCAGTTGATTCTACCGAAGTAACCGAATAACAATATTGTGCATTCTCGTTGATATTTTTGTATTATTTTTCTTTAGATTTTAATGTGCATATACATTGACTTTGGTGTGCACTTTATTTATCATTATTGTGCATTTAGTTTTTATTATAAATAATATATCTAACACATGAACTAAACTAAAGTGTTATATATTTAAAGTTCTTCAAAATTACATATAAGTCCTTACCCTTATCTAATTTACAATATTTAAACCAGCCCCAATTTAGCCCCAAAAAAATGTATCTCTCTCGACCTTGTTCAAATCATCGGACAATTCACTGCCGACCACCTGTAGATGCTCATCGTCACCTCGTCAGACCAGATTCCGACGGCGGAGGTCGGCAATGGCGAATTCTGTTGTGAACTGTCGGCAATGTGTGGTGGCGGTGGCGCGGTTGGTGGGGGATGGTGGCGGAAGCTAACTGTGGCGAAGATTCTGACGTAATCGGAGGGGCTGTTGCGGTAGGCGGAGGATGAGTGTTGGTGGCTGTGGCGACGGCCGTCGGTCGCCGGCGGGTGTCACGCTGGTCAGTTCTTCATAATTGGTGTGTGTGTGTGTGTATGTGTGAACTGTATGTGTGTGTGTGTGTCTGGGGAATGTGTGCGTGTGGTGATATTTGTGTGTGTTTTATTGTGTGAGAGAGATGGTGTGGGATCCACCAAATTAGTGAGTTGAATTTTTGTAATGACTCTTATACCCTTAGTTTGTGGTCAATTACACAAGTTTGACCTCGAAATCTCTAAGTATTTACCATAATGCCATCATGTTATTGACTGACATTATCATAATTTGACTCGATCGTGACCATTAACTTGATGGATCCAATAATCCAGATTCATTCTCATTTTTTTCACTATCTACCATTCTCACATGATCCTAACTATATATATATATATATATATATATAAAGGAGCAACAAAACATTAATTTATATTATCATGCATTAAATTTATTATCCCTCCAAATATTTCAACATTCAATTTCATTTTTAAGTTACAAAATAATTTGCTTGAATGCCATAAATTATGATCATAAATCTATCAATGGAGTTACAAAATTGAACTCAATTAATTTTAAGTTACACCCACGCATGAAAATGGCCGGATGTATTACCATAAAAAAAAATGGTTGTAACGGCTCTTCCATAGCAATTACTTGATCAAAATCAATTTGGAGAATCATTTTCTTAATTCTTATTTTTTTTCATGAATAAAATTATGATTTATTTTTGTTTTTTTATATTGTTATCTTTTTTAAGTATTCTTCTCTGTTAAAATGCACAGGTTGATTACTATATCTATATCTATATCTATATACATATACATATAATTTGGAGCAACAAAGCATTGAATTATATTATCCCGCCTAAATTTTCATCATTTAATTATATTACTTTATGTTCCCGCCTAAAGCAGTTACAGATATTATAATATTAATATGTTTTTGCTAATTTTCTTACTGTCACCTAATGAGTCTATTAATTGCATGAATGTTCTAGCTAAAATCGTGCATTTATATCTATACTTGCTTTTTTTTTCTTCCTTTTCCTCCAATAATTTTAAAAAATGAGATATTGGATATTTTTTACACAGAAAAAAAGTGTGATTCGCCGATAACAAGAGAGAAATGAGCTTTGAATCATGGAGTGTTTGGATTATTTAAGTTGAGGGTTTGGTAACGCTTTTTTTGGTAACCGGTTACCTGATTCTTTTTTTTTTTTTTTCAAAACAATGTGTATTGGGTTTAATTTGAAATATTATTTTCTTTGGGCATTACTAAATCGGACTAATTAAACAAATAGGCTTACTAAGAATATCGACCCAAGTCACCCTTACAAGTTTTTTAATAAAAAATTAAGCCGAATTCACCACATTTTTTAATATGTTATCCATCCCGATTCAACAACTATTTATAATGCAATTATTTGTTCAGTAGATAATTTCGACCCAAATGTTTAATAATGCAAGTTTTTAATAATATTTAGAAATATTTTTTAATTCATATTTTTTTCATGAATTAGATTATGATTATGTATTTTTCTTTTTTCTTTGTATATTGTTGTCTTTTCTAAGTATTCTCCGTTGTGCAAATGCACATGTTGATTACTAGTTACCATTTAAATGGAATGAGGGCCATTAATATCAATTTGATTCATTCATTTAAATGAAAAAATTGTGACCCCACAAATACCATTCACACACACACAATATATTTTTTATTTAAATGAATTTATAAATATAGATATGTCCTTAAATGAAGAGATGTTCATAGAATGATGATGTAGGCATGATGTGGTGTAAAAATTGGTGTAAAAATTGTGGGATTGATGTTTAAATGAATGAATGTGGATGTCCTAATGGTGAGGCCGGTTGAAAATTTTAGAAATTTTAATATATAAGAAAAAGTTCTTTTCTTTAAGGTGTATTTTATTATTACACAATGAAATTAAGTAGAGGTGGACGCAGTTTGGGACGATCTGGAATTTGGCATGTCTCCGTGCTTGTCCCGCTTTTATGAGTCGCTTCAGGAATGGTTCTAAGATATAAATCTGGAAAAAGTTTTTTTTCTTTAAGGTGTATTTTATTATCACAAAGTGAAATTAAGTAGGGGTGGGCACAGTTTGGGATGGTCCGAAATTTGGTTTGTCTCGATAATTGTCCCGCTTTTATGAGTCGGTTCAGGAATGATTCTAAGTTATAAATCTGAAAAAGTTTCTTCTTTAAGGTGTATTTTATTATCACACGGTGAAATTAAGAAGGGGTGGACGCAATTCGGGATGGTCCAAAATATGGTCTGTCTCGATATTTATTCCGCTTTTATGAGTCGGTTCGAGAATGGATGAAAACTGGCAAAATGAATTCCCAACTTCTCTCTTCATCAAAAGATGGAGCATCCATTATCAGACTCCTAGACCCTATAGTTGGCAAACGGTAATCATTACTTTTTCACTTTATTCATGTATAAATGTCGCATTAATGACATGATTGGTATGATGGAATGAATTTTCATAGGAATGGAATGAATTGAAAAATGGAATGATTATGGGAATGGAATGAAACATATTTTGTCATTGATGTGTTTGGTATGCAGAAGGAATATGACTAGAATGGAATGACATTATTATTTTTTATTATAAAAATAAATAAAAGCTTTTTTTTAAAAATAATCTACTTTTAATAAATTATATATAAATGCTTTTTTAATAATATAAAAATAAAATAATATATTTTTAATAATATATAAAAATAGAATAATATATTTTTTATTAATATAAAAAATAATATATTTTTAATAATATATTTTGGATAATATATAAAAATAGAATAATATATTGTTTAATAATATAAAAATAATATATTTTTAATAATATATAAAAATAAAATAATATATTTTTAAATTATATATAAATGCTTTTTTTAGTTTTATTTTTATATAAGTATTTAATATTTCTAATTAAAAATTAAATAAAAGTAAGTTTTTAATATTTTTACTTGAATTTTTTTTCAAAAATAATTTTATTTAATATATTTTAATCATGATTTATAATATATATTATATATTTATATTTTATAATTATTTGTTAATTTTATTTTTTAAAATTTGATTCCTACACACATGGAATGAAAAAACCTTCCGTTTACTATGAAATGGCTAATCCCATGGAGATGGGTTTTGTCATTCCCATTGGAATGGTCATTCCTTCCCAAAAAATATACCAATCATTAGATAAGGAATGAGTAAAGGAATGACCATTCCATTCCCATGTCATTCCTTCCTACGAATCATGCCATAAATGTATTAGAGGGACATGAAAAACATACTCTTTCAAATATATATAACAAAATACATATTTCTCTCTCAACTATTTTTCTATGTCGATCTAACTCAATCTCACTATCTTCAATATTATTAATATAATTAAATAATATCATTCAATTATTCTTACACATTACAACATTATCCTCTTTGGGATATGCTCAATATACAGTGTACTAGTGCTACCAATCAGTCAAGACAAACTGTACGATTGACACTACAATTGTTCACGATGGGTCGTTCATTTCCATCTAGGGTGTGAACTTGATTATTTATGTTTTACAAGTAACCAATATATTATCTTTTGTCCATCCGTGATGAACCACAATATCCCAATGTAAAACATCAGAACATAAATTGTTTAATTAAACATGATTCTCATTCAAATAGGATGAATGCCAATAAAAAACTGAGCTTTCAGTATACACACCAACACTTGGGGCGAGATTTAGAGAATCAAGAAAATTGGGAAATATTATTCCTGCACAAATACTGGTAAAAGATTCTCAAGATCTCCAAATTGAAGAAGGCAAACTATTTTGGAAGGAATCTACTTCATATTGAAGAATGTTAATGACATGAGAATGTGAAAGCTCTTTACCATCTTGGAGTTTGTATGTATGCTACCACGAAGACTCATAGAAGTGCTACTGCAATTACGTTTAGCATTAAGTTTATTGTTCAAGAGAGTCACAGAGAGTTCGTGAGTTCTGTTTTACATATTTATAGTTTAGATTTTCAGCGAATAAATTTTGTTCTGTGTTTTTACATTACTGAAGAGTTTTTCTTGTTTTATCATAACTATTGTGTACTTAGGAAAAGTATTTCACTAGTTAGAAGAGATGTGAACAAATTTTTTAAGTCCACGTTGTGGCAAGAGAAATAGTTAATTGTTTCGGGTAGTACAGTTAGTTGTTTCGGGTAGTGTTGGTAAGTTTATAAGAGAGTCATATACTTTAATCACAAACTATATATCGTATGCACGACCAATTTGCGAATGAATTGAAAGAGATTTGAGGAGTAGTGAGACGCTCACGAGTCCCGAAGACAAATTTAATGAGGAGTAGTGAGACGCTCACGAGTCCCGAAGACAAATTTAATCATTTGTTACTTTTTAATTTTAGAGTTAAAACATGTTTTGCATACTAAATACCACTGTTCCAAAAATCGGCCTAGGCGGCGCTAGCCGGTGCCCGGGCGCCTCCGATTTGTACAGATCGACAGAAAAAATCGGCCAGGCGGCTAGGCGGCGCCTAGGCAGGCTTGGCGGGCTCGGCGACCAGGCGGTTAGGCGGCGTCTAGGCAGGCGTAGGCGGACCTAGGCGGGCTCGGCGGCAATTTTTCAGTTTCTTTTTTCTTTTTCTATTTTCTTAAATATTAATTACATTATTTTATTCTCATGTATTCTTTAATATATATTAATATTATTATTTGGACTTTGGTGTGTAAATTTATTATAAGTTGAGATAGTTTTATTTTGTAGATAGTTAAAATAAATAAAAAACAAGGTACTTAATATTAGTTTCTGGTCCCGACTAGGCGCTGGTCGCAAGACGCCTAAGGACTTTTAGAACACTAAATACTCCCCACAATCTTTTCACTCATCTGTCATCTCCTTTATGCATTTTTCTCATCTCATTATATCTGCAATTTCGTATCAAAGCCTCTCACTCAAAATCTCACATATCCAGAAACAAAATCCCCCTTCACTCACTAATCATCGTCATCCGAATGGATGAATTGCAATCTGAGCCGCCCGTCCTCCCTTCTCGCCTGCATAAACTCCTTGGTGGGGATCCTCATCTCCTTGAGGATGAACCTCCCGCCCTCCCTCACCGATTGGAAGCACACCCATGGCTTCCCGTTCTTCCCTATTCCCGGTATCGGCGGTGGCAGATCTCCCCTCAATTCCTTCCCCACACAATGGCGCCCCTTGCCGTTCCCCGCCGGACACTTCTCGCAACCCTCCCGTAAATGCGCTCCGCCCAATTCATCGCCGACAGTTTCCAATTCGTCGGAGCTCTCGAACCCTAACCCCTCGGTGCACTTGGAGAGGCTCTCCGAGCTCATTGACGAGAAGCTGTCGCTGTAGGCGCCCTGCTTTCTCCGGCCCGGCGACGGGCTGGGGCTGGGGCTGATGTTCGTGCCGTCGGTGTCGGCCCGGCCCGATGACGCGAAGGACGAGGATCGGGTTTCCCTGAAGTGCAATTCGCCGAAGAGCTCGGTGAAGGATTCATCGATGGCGGAGGATCCGTTGCGTTTCCATGGTGAGAGGGACTCGAGGAAGGCCTGGTTTTCGGTCACTGGTTTTCCGAATATGTGATCTAGCCTGCTAACGGCCGCCATGGTTTGGGGGTTTTTTTTTTATTGAATTTTGTTTTTTAAATTTGTTTGGAATTTTGATTGAGCAATAGGATAAAGGTAAGTTATATATAGGAGAGATTAGTTGTATATATAGAGAGAGAGATTGATTCTAATGGATGGAGATTAGAAAAAGCGTGTGCTTTTTGGTAGGGAAGAGATGCACGGGAAGGGTATGAGCTTTGCTGTTGTGGATGATGATGATGATTATGATAAAGTCAATACAATTTGAACTGTTTATTAGGAATAGTATTTTTCGGGTTGCCTTTGAATTTCTTTGCTGTTATATTATTTAGAGGATTTTTCTTTTTCTGTTTCTTATTTTCTGCCATAATAAAGTGGCCATAATTTTATGAAAATTTATTGGATCCTTATCCTTTTTTATTCCCCAGGCTAACAGGTAGGCAGCCATAAATTTTCAATATATGGACATATTTTTAAACTTAAATGTCATACTATTAATAACAATATAATATTATATAATATAAATAAAATTTAATTAATTTGACCATTTAATGGTAAACCGCCTGATATAGAAAAAGTTTTGCCTAGGTTGGATAGATCTTTTTGCATAGCTATCATAGTATCTAAATATTTTTATATTATTTTTGAAATATTGGTAGTTTTGTTAAAAAGAAAAGAATATATATATATATTTGATTTTTCATAAAACAATGGCAAGNATTGAACTGGTCGGACCGATATTTAATTTATTATTATTTTTAAACATATATAATATTTTATACAATAAAATGTATCCAAAAAAATTATTAATCAAATTTTAATCTAATTTAAAACATTAAAATACTTAAACTAACTAATAATAACTTATATATATCCCTTATGTTTAAAATATTTATTTAAATATTTATTTTTTATTTATGTTAAAAATATTTTTAAATATAAAAAGATTTATTTTATAAAAAAAATATGGACTGGTTCAACCGATCCGACCAGACCAATTCTAACCGGTTCCCTGACAACCGGTTTATTCCAGGGAACCAAATCGATTAACTAACCAGTTCCCGGTCCAACCGATCGGATCGGCCGATCAGGTCCAGTTTTCTAAACCATGCTCCTAAGACATCGAAATAATGCCGTTTTCTTGAGCCTGGAGGTCTCGCATAAATTATTCGTCTGATGTGTAATCGTTTTGGATTTCCCTAGAATGTGTATGACGACCACGAAAAAAAGTTATCTTTTGTGGATTTGTGAGGTTACCCTAATTCTATAATTACGAGTTGTGTTGGAATCATCGTGGATTTGAGGTTGGTGTGTAATTTAGTCTGAATTATAAGTTCTTTATGATTACGGCCTGGCATTATAGTTATTTTGAGGGGTTGTTGTGGTGATTACAAATTTCGTGCTAAGTTGTTTTTTAAAAATAAAATTTTTGGGAGGATTTTCTTTGTGGATTAGAATTGGGTTGGTTTTAGTATCCAACATTTACAAAAAAATAATTGCACTCAATTTATTTGAGTATGGACTATAGCGAAACCCAATTATTGTGGTTTTCGTGGTTTTCAAGATTATTGTGTCAAAATTATTGCAATTCGGGTAGCTCATTCAAGGTTTAAGATTTTAATTGATTTATCAGGTTCTAAGTCTTGCAGGATTAGTAAGTAAAACAGTTTAAGTTCCTTGTTATAAGAATGTAAACCCATGGTTTGGGGCGAGGCATCTCTGACAAAGAGGGATTCAAAGAACTCGATGTTGCTTCACACGGTGAGTGTGATTATAGCCATACTTTTAATGGTAAAGTCATTGTATTTGGTGGTGACTTTAGACGGAATTTGCCAGTAAGAAAGGACACCATTGATACTTCCATAATTAGCTCATACATTTGGCCATTGCTAGAGAAATTGAGGCTGACTGAGAATATGCTTGCACATTTGGATCCTTTGTACACAACATTTCTTATGAAAATTGGTAATTGATAGGAAAAAATTTTTGATTAAAATAATAATGAGTATATTAAAATAATATTTAAAATAAAATAATTAAAATTAATTTGATGTAAAAGTAAGAAAAATGATTGAAAGTGATGATTGGTTAAAATTAGTGAGTGGATGAATAGTGTGATGTGCAAAAATAATTGGTTAATATTATTTAATTATATTTATAATATTGAGGATAATGAGATTGGGTTAAAGTTAGTTAAATTTGAGTTTTGATTGATTTTTTTTCTAGTTGAGTTCATAAACACCCTTGTATATTATAGGAGTTTTTTAGTATTAACTATAAATAGTAAGTCAACTCATTTATTTTTTTGGTCAAAGTTACTAAAAATGTTTTTACCAACAACCCTTTTATATTAGTATAGATATAAATCTATATATATATAGATTGCTAGCTAAATAATAAATTTTACCTAATAAATAAAACCTAATAAATTTTACCTATGTGGCAAATCATTAATAAAACCTAATAATTAGAACCTAATAAATTTTATTTATGTGGCATTAATACACACAATCTCATTAATAAAAAAATATTTCATTACATTTTTTTGGGTTAATTAAGACAAAAACCATTATATTTTATGTTAATTGATTAATAATTATATTTTTTATTGAATAATATAATAGTTAATATTAAAATTAGTAATTATATTTTATACTAAATAATATATGAAAGTTACATAAAATTATATTTTACACTAAAATCGATATTTTTTTATATGATGAAGATGTTGTTTATTAAAAATTTAATTTTTTTTATGTCATAGTAAAATTTCTTAAAATCACATAAGCAATTGTTATAATAAATGTAATATTTTTCAGCTAATTAATTGGTCATGATCACTCAAAATTATAAAA